AACATCATTATAAATATCAGGAATAGCATTCAAGAGCACAATAGGGGTATAATCATCAATGTTCGCTTATCACCAGTAAATTTAATATCTTGAACTAACTTGGTAAAAACATCCATATTAGCATCAATATTTTTGCGAGAGTCCAATTTAAATCCAAAAAACTTTTCAAGCAAAAACATTTTATTGGGCAAAGAATTTTCAACATAAAGCTCTTCCAATTTATCCCATAAACTTCTAGCAGAATCATGATTTCCTACTTTTCTAATCACAGAGTCACTTAGATTCAAGATAATAGCAGAATAAGCAAGATCATCGAGTTCTTCACATTTAGCAACAGTTATAAAAACTTCCTCACTTAAGGAAATCGCTTTAAAACATTTTTGATGAAATAAAATACCTTTCATTTTCTGTTGCCAAATAGAAAAATCACCCTTTCCATCGAAAAGAGCTAAAGATAACATAGACATAGATCCCATATTCCAAGTATCACAAAGATAGCAAAAATCACAAAGATTATCAAATATGGATCAACACACAGAAGAATCACAAAGATTCAATATTCTTTAGCAAGATCGAATCACAAAGACTCACAAATTTTCAAAAAATCACAAAGATAATCGAATCACAAAGATTCCAATTTTCAAATATCACGAAGATAAAGAATCACACAGATTCACACAAAATATTAGCGGAAGCAATAAATAAAGAATCACCAAGATTTACCAATAATAGGTATAATTATCACAAAGAATCAATCAACTCACAAAGAATAGAAATTTATACCTGAGCGAAACCCCTGGACCAGGATTTCGTACGCCGCTCCGGACGGACCCTTAACAAAGCTCTGATACCACTGTTGTGTATCCGCCCGGAAAAGACAAACCACACAAAATCAAAATATTCATATTTTATTAGAAGCAATTAAAATATGATATAATATAATAAATCAACACAGTTAATAATTATAGCAAATGACAGCAATTATTGAAAACAACAATCAGCAATCAGACAATATTCAATAACCAATAAACATGATCATATGAATCAATTAAACAAATCAAAATCCTAATTAACACTAATCAGAATTCAACAATAAATTTGCAAAACATTAAAGGCAAAAATAATTCGTAGAGATAGAATAGAATAACCAGGAGCAAATCACAGATTTGCTGGGAAGGAATCCTCCGACGGCTGCTCTGTCGAGGTTCGATTTTCCGGCTCAGTCCTCAATCTCCGAGTCCTCGTCCAAGATCCAAGTGGGGCCTTCAAACACTCACGGCAGCCACACACACGCACACACACAGTGTATTCCAACGAAAAACACGAAGAAAACGTAACCCAAATTCACACCCTAATCTCACCGGTTTATCCCTAAAGAAGTAAGCTCGAATTCATTGAAAGAATCGAGCTTTGCTTCTCAAAAAAGGTTCTCTCTTTCACACTAATTTTTTTCTTCCCAAAATACACGAAGTATTCTACTCTTTTCTCGACTCTATTTTTCTCTCTTTTTTCGTCTCTCACACAGAAAAAGAAAAGGGTGCACTTATACGCCCAAATCATCCACCAAACTCACGAAGAATTAGGTAACAAATCACCAAGATTTGTTGAGAGAAAAAAGGGGCAGATTTGAATAATCAATCTGCTGTAAAACAGAAAAACTAGATAAAAGAAAAGGTCAAGAGAGAGTTAAAGGTAAAACCTGGTGAGATTGGGCTGACTTTAATTTTGGGCTCAAATTTTGTGGGCTGCTCGTAAGTGGGTTGCAAGGTGGAAATTTAATGGGCCATTCACAAAGAATTAATTTGGGCCACATACTCTACAAATCTCCACCTGGCCCAAATGGATCATCGGGACCCTTTTAGGAGAAACGAAGTCATCATTGCCGTATGACATTACCTGCACTCAAAACACAAAGTTAGTACAAGTTTAAAGAACAAAACACAAAGTAATGCAAAAAACAAGCAAAACACAAAGTAATGCAAATAATAAGCAAAACACAAAGTAATGCAAATATTCTAACACATTCGAATACATCACCACCGTCGGATATCATATTGGCTTGATCTCTATGTTGGTTTTTCTTAGGCTTGGGACACTCATTAACAAAATGATTATGATTACCACAATTAATACATCTCCTATGATTAGGATTAGCCTTCGACTTACTCCAATCTCCACCCTTTTTCTTAGTTTGATCAATTTGACTCGAAGAAGCCTTATAGTTTTGAAAGCGATTAGGCTGACTTCCTTTAGTAAAATTAACCTCACCAAATGATTTATCCCTACTAATTCCCAATTCAAGCTCTTTGCTTTTTAAAGCATTGATCACAGTATCTAAAGTAATCTTATCTCTACCATACTTAATAGCAGACTTAACATCATTATAAATATCAGGAATAACATTCAAGAGCACAATAGGGGTATAATCATCAATGTTCGCTTATCACCAGTTAATTTAATACCTTGAACTAACTTGGTAAAAACATCCATATTAGCATCAATATTTTTGCGAGAGTCCAATTTAAATCCTAAAAACTTTTCAAGCAAAAACATTTTATTGGGCAAAGAATTTTCAACATAAAGCTCTTCCAATTTATCCCATAAACTTCTAGCAGAATCATGATTTCCTACTTTTCTAATCACAGAGTCACTTAGATTCAAGATAATAGCAGAATAAGCAAGATCATCGAGTTCTTCACATTTAGCAACAGTTATAAAAACTTCCTCACTTAAGGAAATCGCTTTAAAACATTTTTGATGAATTAAAATACCTTTCATTTTCTGTTGCCAAATAGAAAAATCACCCTTTCCATCGAAAGGAGCTAAAGATAACATAGACATAGATCCCATATTCCAAGTATCACAAAGATAGCAAAAATCACAAAGATTATCAAATATGGATCAACACACAGAAGAATCACAAAGATTCAATATTCTTTAGCAAGATCGAATCACAAATACTCACAAATTTTAAAAAAATCACAAAGATAATTGAATCACAAAGATTCCAATTTTCAAATATCACAAAGATAAAGAATCACACAGATTCACACAAAATATTAGCGGAAACAATAAATAAAGAATCACCAAGATTCACCAATAATAGGTATAATTATCACAAAGAATCAATCAACTCACAAAGAGTAGAAATTTATACCTGAGCGAAACCCCTGGACCAGGATTTCGTTCGCCGCTCCGGACGGACCCTTAACAAAGCTCTGATACCACTGTTGGGTATCCGCCCGGAGAAGACATACCACACAAAATCAAAATACTCATATTTTATTAGAAGCAATTAAAATATAATATAATATAATAAATCAACACAATTAATAATTATAGCAAAAGACAGCAGTTACCGAAAACAACAATCAGCAATCAGACAATATTCAATAACCAATAAACATGATCATAGGAATCAATTAAACAAATCAAACTCCTAATTAATACTAATCAGAATTCAACAGTTTCAAATTAATAAATTTGCAAAACATTAAAGGCAAAAATAATTCGTAGAGATAGAATAGAATAACCAGGAGCAAATCACACAGATTTGCTGGGAAGGAATCCTCCGACGGCTGCTCCGGCGAGGTTCAATTTTCCGGCTCAGTCCTCAATCTCCGAGTCCTCGTCCAAAATCCAAGTGGGGCCTCCAAACACTCACGACAACCACACACACGCACACACAGTGTATTCCAACGAAAAACACGAAGAAAACGAAACCCAAATTCACACCATAATCTCACTGGTTTATCCCTAAAGAAGTAAGCTCGAATTCATTGAAAGAATCGAGCTTTGCTTCTCAAAAAAGGTTCTCTCTTTCACTTTAATTTTTTTCTTCCCAAAATACACGAAGTATTCTAATCTTTTCTCGACTCTATTTTTCTCTCTTTTTTCGTCTCCCACACATAAAAAGAAAAGGGTGCACTTATTCGCCCAAATCATCCACCAAACTCACGAAGAATTAGGTAACAAATCACCAAGATTTGTTGAGAGAAAAAAGGGGCAGATTTGAATAATCAATCTGCTGTAAACCGGAAAAACTAGATAAAAGAAAAGGTCAAGAGAGAGTTAAAGGTAAAACCTAGTGAGATTGGGCTGACTTTAATTTTGGGCTCAAATTTTGTGGGCTGCTCGTAAGTGAGTTGCAAGAGTGGAATTTTAATGGGCCATTCACGGAGAATTAATATATATATATATATATATATATATATATATATATATATATATATATATATATATATATATATATATATATATATATATATATATATATATATATATATATATATCTTAAATAACAACAAATAAACAATTGGGTATTCTAAGGCTCTGTTGGTGAGAAGTTGTTGCAAAAAACAAAGCCCTAAATTTCTCATTTCAAGCTCGACGGAATTAAACAAAGATTTAAAATTCAAAGACAACGAGGAACCTGCCATAATGTCGGACACGGGAAAGTGTCAACACTTCGAACGGAGGTTTCTCGCCGGACTTGTCTTCTTCTTCGATTCTATCTGCCAAAGTACAAACAATTTGTGGGCATTTTAAGAAGTTATTGAACGGATTAAACACTAAAACAAACAACAAGTCTAAAAATTGAAAAGACGATGTAAGATCTGATTTGTCACCTGGGAGGATTTCTCACCTGGGAGGCTAGGGCTGCATCCTTGAGGGGAAATAGCTGATTTTGTGAGTTTATATATCGATTATTTTCGTAATTTAAGAAATAATGAGGGACATTTTCGTCAATTCACATCGGGCAGAAAGTGGGATTGTATAAATGATATACTATCAAGTCAAATTTGGGTGGATAATTAATAATTCAATTGGTTGATTAAAATAATTGGGTCATTAGTCAAGGACGGCAAATCAACCGAACCAAACATTGTACCCAAGAGTACAATTCATCCCATCCTTGCTAATAATGCAAACCAAAGATGCCCCTAGGGTGTGATTTATTTTTGAAAATTAAATATTGATAGTTAATAAAAAAACAGAGATTAACATCAAATTAATTACTATTGCTTACTAACTAGAAATTTATTGAGCATACCTCTAATAACACAAACTTAATGGCAAATATGAAATAATGTTAAATTCGACTACCTATAGATAGATATACATTTACAATTGAATAGCTGCAAAACGAAAAGACCTCAAAGGGCTCGTTAGATTTTCCTCGAATAATTCATATTTTTCTTTTTGGAGAAAGCCAAACTATATTTCATATAGAAGGTTGACAAATTTGTAAGTCAATTGGTGTTTGCAGCTCTCAGTTTCTTGAAAAGTAACTGAAAAAAAAAAAACCGACTTTTTTTTGCTGCGGGTGATTCACATGGATAGAGGCAGTAACAATCTTCTATCCCTTTTCCTTGCGAGGGACTGCCTTGAAAATTTCAAACGAATAGGAACGAGGATGCCGAGGCAAACGATGAAGAAAGAAACCCAGTAGTGTTTTAAGTAAAGGGTGGCATATGATGTAATTAGAAGCACGATAAAGATCACGGCCCAGAAAATAGCAACTGCAACATCAGTCCTGAATGAAATAAGAAAAACATAAAGGGTAAGATAATGTATAGATAGATAGATGCTTGACAAGTGAAAGAAACGGAAATTTGGAAAATGGAGTAAAACGGAAAATATTAAAGTGGTATTATTCAAAACGATTTTATTTATCCAGAAGTAGTCAAGAAAACGATTTATCCAGACATCCACCAAGACTGAAGAAACGGAATTGATTCGGCATTTCACATAATGTAATATATAATTAAAATATAAATAGACACTGAATGGAAATCCAAATATACTATTCTTTTCTTTTTTCTGAAATAATACAGAATAATTAGTCACCTCTTAATACATAGAACTAGCAGAAAGGGGAAATAATAATCTTGGTCAACATTTTTCGGGATTTGACAGATTTGAAGAATTATGTTCATGCGTAGAAAAGCAGGGATTCAAACCTTAATGACTAATGAGGCCAATTACATCTAAAGGCATTCAATTAACTTAACTCAAAGACAAGTACAGTAAAACTAACTTTCAACATAATTATATGGGTATTTAGAAATTAAGCGAAATCAAGCAAACTGTTCTTTCTTATTATCAGATTCACCAGAAGTCGAGCATACATCAAATTTCTAATATTAAGTAACAGCAGTTTGCAAGGTGCTCATTTACGATCTCGTTTTCTTATGTATTGTTTACATTTTCATGGTTGAATATGATCACTGGAATTAGAGGATCAAGTAAGTAAACAATAGAAAATCTTGTTTTATTTGTTTATTTGTTCACACAGCTCAAAAAGTGTTCACGACGGTTTAATTTCCAAATGGTAGGCGACACCAAAAAATCACCAAAGGCAACATCTTTTGTCTACTAAAATCGTTAGGATGAAACTTAGTTCCTAGTTAATATGACGAACACCAACGATTTTATAACTATCTTCAGCTAAGAATTGCAAGCTTTAAAATCTCAACTCTTGCGGTTAGCATCAATAGTGGCAACAACAAACAAACTAATCCGATAGTGATAGTTCGTTAAATAAGAAGATGTAATTTTTACAAAATATACAAGGTGCAGCCATATCTCACGTTCTTCACCCCAATAAAGGAAAAATAAAATATTTCATTTTGAAACGTCTCCGCGTTCTATTTTCATTGTAATCAAAATTGTGGTAGTACAACCAAAGAAAATAACACATGTAGAATATCTCGGAACAGATGAGCATATCTGATTAACAAATGTCTCAATTGAGATTAATTCAGAAGATATCATACCATCAGAATTAAACAATAACTTTAGAATTACCGACTTGTGATTCGGACATGGTATATGGTTGGGATTGGGCCTATGGGGAATTTATGTTTAGTTTAGGGATCACGCCATTAAAAATTAAAAATCCATGGACAAAATACAGAACTTTTTCCCGGCTGGAAGGGCACGATGCCACTTCACGGAAGCCCTTCGCGATAGGCTGGTAGCTACACCATTATATCTTGAGCTTTAAAAACGCTTGAAAAAATGTTTTTAGGCCCTCCAAATATTTTTTGCAAGGTCTTCTCTCCGATCAACACATACATCAGTGAGGCTTAATTCGAACTATATAAAATGCCCAAATTTAATTCCCTGACGGTGAATTAGTCCCATTCGTAATACTGTCGAGACGCATGCCTATTCATAATTAATCAACTAATTTGTTCATTTACACCATTGATACTTGACGACAAGACACATTTTCCCCCCAAATTGAAGGATGTAACACAATATTTAAAGAATGTGTCTTGAAATCAATTTCCCCAAATAGCAGGAGCATACATACTAACTGAAAAAAAAAAATTAAATTTTCTTTTTGGGGCCAAAATACAATAAACGAATTCCAAGCAAATAAATCGAAGATTGATTGATGAACGAGGTTAATAAATTGGCGAGCAATAAGAAGCACAATTAGGCGGTGAGAAAGGGCGTAAACGTACCAGGTGGAGAGAAGAGGTTTGGGAGAGAATACAGTGAGGGCGGGGCACTTGTGCTGGGATCGGATCTGGTAATCTCTGAGTTGTTCGACGAGTTTCGACCGAGTTATCATTGAGTTGCTATCCTGAATCGGGAACGGAGTTCTGTCCTACCTCTGATTCAGTTTAACACAGCTGGATTGTGTTCAAATCCACCCGATTCCGTAGCCGAATTGCAAGTTGATGCTTTAATTCCAATTTCAATTCCACCTTTTTTAGGGCAAAATTCGAACAGAAAGAGGGATTCTTGTGAGATTTTGAAGAGAGTAGTCGACCTGTACAGAGAGCTCTGCTCTGCTGCGCTACAAGGAAAAAAATTAAAATTAAAATTAAAATTGAACAAATATATTTGAAGGGTAGTGATATACGCAGGCCAAATTAAACATTCAGGCACTTTTTTACCATGGTTTTTTACCTTTTTACCATAACTATTTACCTTTCTACATTTTAAATAAACACTTTATTAATATTTCATTTAATAAAAAAAAACATTTAAATAATGAAACGAAAAAAAAAAAAAAAATACTTGGTCCTGCTCGCGCAAAAATGCACGAGCATTTCAACAGTGCTCGTGTGAAATCAGGCGAGCACTGTTGAAATGCTCGTGCATTTTTGCGTGAGCATAAATGCAGTTTATTAAATTTATTAAAAAAAAAAAAAAAAATTAAAATTAAGTTGCTCGCGTGGATTT